AACTAACAATCTTAACACAACTAATATTATATTCATACAAATTTTTTTAATTTAGATATGATATAATTATCATATCGTACTCCATTTAAAAGCACGAGTTCGGAAAAATAAAAAGCACGAGGTTGGAAAAATCTTTCTACGACTAATATTACCTTTTACTATTTTAAATATTTTATTTATATCTTAACCTATCAAAGTCATAATTATATTAAATCATAATCCTACGTGAACTATCTATAGCTTAACAATTTAAAAAAATATATTAATAAAATATTTAAAATGTTTTTTATGGTATTAGTTTGTAAAGATAAAGAAATTATATGTAACAAACGTACTATAATACATAAAGTATTATAAAAAAACTAAAAAGTTTTAAAATTGTATAAAATATCCTGAAAAGTTTAAAATTATAAGAACTATTTCGACGTCTAAAAACTTAAAACAACAAACATAAAATCAAGAAATTAACAACGAAGAATTTAAAATTTGCGGATAATATGTCATTATCTCAAAAATTATAGAAACACCTTCAAAAACTCAAATTACAAACAATCAAATTACAAACAAGCACCTGAAATTCTAAAAATTTAAGACTTACGAATAACATAGATAAACTCTAGGGATTACCATAATGTACCTGAAAATTTCTGACATTTTAAAACTTAAAACAAAAAATATGAAATTAAGAAAAATTAACAGCAGCCTCCGAAAAATTTAAAATTTTTAGTTAACACCCTCAATGTTCCAAAAATTATAGAAACTCCCTCAAAATATTTAAATTACAAAAAAACCTTAAAATTTTAAAAATTTAAAAATTTGCAAACAACAAAAGATGAATTTAAGAGATTACCCTCAATGCACCTAAAAATTTAAAATTTCTAAAATTAACCTCAAAGTTACAAAAGTTATAGAAAAAACTCTTTTAAAATTTAAAAATTATAAAATAATCTTAAAATTTTAAAATTTATAACGAGTACACATCAAATCTGAAAACTACTGGTAGACCGTTAAAATTTGAATTTTTTTAAAAATTAATCTATAGTTTTAACAATTGTAAAAAATAGCCTTAAAATTTTAGAGTTGTAAGAAATAATGTGATATTTAAAAATTACCTATATATTCCAATTTAGGGTTTACTATCCCTTTTCAGCATCTAAAGACATTCTAAGTTGATACTCGTAAATAAAAGAAATAATAATTGATTAAAAATATTCGGTTAAGAAATAAAAATTTTAAAAATATTATAGCTTAAAAATTATTGTCACCATATAAATTAAAGCAATTGGATAAAATTTTACTAATAAGTTGGAGCAGCAAAACACATTAGTAATATTAATTGTTAAATCCAAAAAAATAATAAAAGACTATAATATAATAGTTTAACGTTAATTAATTATAATTTAGAAACATTAATATATGATGTTAATAATATTTATAGGGTAAAAAAATACAATAAATTAGGTATGGAGAAACTATCAAAATGTTCAGAGATATCATTCAAAAAAATCAAGCTATTTCCATTGCAAAAGGGAAAGTGACGAAAATAAATCTAAAATTCAAAAAACGTCCATGAATCATTTGAATTGGCATTAACATAAGACATGTCTATTAAAGAAGTATCAACAGAGTTACATTGAAGAATAATATTTTAATAACTTTATCCCAATCAAAGAAGAATTCTTCATGGAAGATGTAAGAAAAATTAGTAAGCATTCATAAATTTCATACTTTGTTCTTCAAATACTAAAGAAATTAGATATTAATATTATAATCTAAGAAAATTGGTAATAAAAATGAAGGTATTTAGTTTAGATCTTTATAAAAAATAACAAGGATAGAACAAATATAATATTATTGACGTAATAGAAACTCTTATTGGATGCACATCAGAAGAATTCAATGTAGAAAAAAATTGGTAGCTCCTAATCTTATTTAAGTAATAAATTAGGAACACAAAAAATTTCATATATATGAAATCAATATTTATTCTCATTAAAAAAAAATCAAAGTATGTATTTCAAAAAGTTTGTGTTGAACATCAAAAATACATTTAACTTCTTTGTGAAGTTAAACAACAAGATAAAAGATTAAAGAGCCTAGGAATGATAACAACACAAAAAGTACAACTCTAGCTTTATATCACAATCGAGTAAATGATGATGATACTACTCTAAAATTGCCCGAGAAAAAGATAAATGTGAGGAATGATTGATATTAGCTCAGTAAAAAAATAAAACAGAAGAAATAAAAATAATATTTTCTGAATATTTTATAGAATAGTTTAATTATTTTGAGTGAATTTAGAAATCTTTTGAAGGGAGTTTCATGAGCTTTTTTCAGTACTTTTATATGCTTGTGGAGATGCTTTTATCATATGAAATTATACTAGAGTTAGAATTAATATTTAATTTATAATTTTTTATGAAGTCTATCAATGATTAGAAACAAACTTTATATTCTCTTTTGTATCATTTTAGCATACTTTTAAGCAATTATTTTACCTTATTGGTTTTAGATATTCACCTTTCTTGTATAACACAGTTTCAATATTTTTTACTTTTGCAACACTGTACTTTCTCAAGTAAAGCTTGGTCTCATGTTAGTCAAAATAATATAAAATTTTAAATTAGCTTCAAATTATATTTGTTTTCTATCAATTTAACTATTAACATAAAAATTTAAATTGGATGTAGCCCATTTAAATAAACGTCAAAGAAAATAACTAATCGCAATATTAAAGTTCAGAGACAAAAGTGAGCATAAACTATTAAAGTGGAACTGACGAACAAAATTTAGTTCGAAAATAAGCCAAAATACTTAATCATGATATTTAACCACGTGTATTGCATGTGTATAAAACCTAGTAAAAATAAAAACATCACTTATTATACAATAAAATAACCATTCATTTAAAGAACCACAGTCATAAAAACTATGGAAACTAATTAAAAATGTAATTAGATTTTAGCCTTAATTAAAGGCCCCTCATCAATATCAATTTCAACAGTTTAAGTAAACGAGAATCTGTGCCTTTTTTTTTTGGACTAGCCAGATGACAAAAATATAAGATAATTTGTAAACTGCTTAGATGACAAAAAAATAAGATATTTTTTATGAAAAAATATGAGTAAATTTTAAACACAAATGGAAAGACGAGTGTAAATCCTATCAGAATACCCCATGTTCTAATAGGACCGGGGGTAGTGAAATACCATCGATGTCGCCCTCCTCCACCTATGTGCGGCTCAGAATGCCCCGCATAGTGTAGGGCGTTCTGAGAGAACCCGCACTCCGGAAAGACACCATGAGTTCATTTATCATATAAAAACTTAGAGACAAGAACCAAATTCCTAATATTTAGGGTACTCCTGTTTATTTTTTCAAAAGCAATTAATAATGATGTTTGATAATTTTTTAATACTTATTGAAATTGCTTTTAGTTTTAAGGTGATGCTTTTAGAAGTGACTAAGAATGCTTTTAGAAAAAGTTTTCCTGTTTCTATACCATATACACCTATTATCTGTTGATAATATTTTTAAGGGTAAATCACAGTAAACACCGACGAGCATTTAGTATTTTGCAAAAACCCCTAATAACTTTTAGCGTTTACAATTGGGCCCAAGTGGTGCGAACCCAGTCAAGACATTTTAGCGCAGCGCGTGTTTTGGTGTTGAAGCTCAACGCACACGCGCCAACAATTCGCACCCTCGTCAATGCAGCTTGTAAAATCCCATCAAGCACCGAGCAGCTCATTATTTCATATCACAATTCAAGATAAAACTAACAAAGAGTTTAATTTGCAAAGAAGTTAAAAGAGATGGCATCGCAACATCAAGCTCGCTATAATGCTGCTCAAGCCTGGGGCCTAACTGAGGTAACTCTCATCAATGTTCATAGTGTGCATTTTGCTCCGAAATTTGTACCACATTCTCAATACTAAGCAAAAGTGATTGCTTCTGCTTCCTTCTTATGCGTACATTAAGGTAGCCACACCGACACCAGACAAAGTAGAAGCCGTCAAGCAGGGGGGCTTCACATGCGGCGCAGAGCACCCATGATGCTGCTCAAGTTGGCAAGGAGAAGGCTGGAAGCTTCTTTCAGTCTGCACGTAGCGGGATTCGATAATTTTATTGAAATTTGATAGAACTGTATGTTTTTTGTTTATATTTATTTATTTTTTGTAGGCTGGCAAGCAAGTGAAGAGCTGACAAAGGGAAGAAGACATTAGTGTCTCGGTTACAATTCTAAATAAAGTGCAAAAATGTACACTGAAATGACACGGTTCAGTAATATGGTTCAATCTTTCAAATTCTCAACCCCTACCGTCTCCCCTGAGCTACTCATTTTTGTGCCTGCATATTTCTTCTACCCCTTTAGTCTCAGCTTACCCCTTGAACTAACCAATTCGTCCTTATTTATTTCCTAAACTATTTTCGGTCTCACACTAACCAATTCATCCTTATGTACCTCCCAAACTATTTTTAATCTCACACTATCCCCTGAACGATCATTCTAGCCCCGCTTTACCTCCTGAATTATCATCTTTATCTATTTAAAATACTCATATTTAAAATACCCATAAATTAGTAAAGGAGAAATATTAACTTGTACACCTGCTAGTTCAGGATATAATAACAAAATACTTTAAAAGGTACAAAGAGACGAATCTAATATATTACGGCAGTAAGGGCATTAAGATGAGACTAAAATAGTTTACAAAATATGAAGGGATAAATTAAAGAGGTCGGGAGACAAAGTTCGGAAGGCAAGTAGGGGCTGAAGCCTCAGGATAATAGATAAAGGATGATATGAGAATAGGTGCATAAAATCTCTAGTTAAGATGGCATCAGAATAGTATGATAAAGTTTGAAGAGCATAAATTCTACAACTACGTCGGATAAAAATTACTAACTCGTCATTTTGGCACACAGTCGTATCAAACAGTCGCCTGATAATGTCACAGAATCTTGCCCTGCGGGTATTGGGATGACATCAAAGCTGGAGACGTACAAAGTTTGCGCTATCAATTATAACCTTTCAGAAGCTTAAACAGTCGTAGATTATCGTCAAATTATATTCTAAACTCTGGATTCTAATAGCATGTCAAGGAATGCTATCAAACCTCAACCGTTCCAGCAAGATCTTAGTATAGATCCACAAAATCCATACGGTCTGCGCGCGATATTTTTATTACAAACAAGTACTCTGCAGAATAACAAGATACCTAGTTTCTACAAGACAGTTGCCTACAAAAACTGCAGCTTCAGCCTCACTTGCATTTTCCGTTGGTAACATTAGAAGGAGTACTATTTTCGCGTTATGCATCAACTTGAGGCAACAACAGACTCCTTCCTTTTTCGGCCCCACCTCGGTGTGGTCTCGATTAGCTGATGAGGGACTAACTGCTTCTCCTTCCTCGAAAGTTTCTTGTAGTTGCTGACTCTCAGCTTGGCTATCTTTGCCTCTTCCTCTGGGGTGGTCTCGCGAACCACTACCGTCAACCGACATCTGGGTCTCACCATGATCCCACTCCTTCCTTTGGCGTGGTATGAGAGTCGCTTCAGATATAACCCTTTTCCAACAAAGGCTTCGGCTGTGGAAACACAAGGGGGAAAAGGTTTTATAACTAAAGCTTCAGTTTATTTGCGACTTCAAGAGACCACAATAAGTTATTTCTACATATTCTAGCCAAATAAAAACGATGAGTCTCTATGCAAAGAAATTTGCCAAGCAATGGCTAAGGCACATATTGTTGTTACATTAAAAAGACAAGACAAGCAATCAAAGACAATTCCCTTTGCAACAAAGATTCGAGCCATCAAATGACATCTTAAAACAATTATAGGGGTTTACCAATAAAAGTTTGACTCCTTGTAGACAAAAACCAACAATACATTTTGTTTTGAATATCCATGTGTGAGTATAGTCCAACAATGGAAAAAGATAAGAAAGAGTCACGGGTTTAAATAGAAGTTAGGACCACTACCTAGGAATTGGTTCCTAACCTCTATTTAAGGCCCATTAACTCTAGGTTGGGCCTGATTACTCTCCAACATTCTGTAAAGAGAGAGGTTAACATTATATTAGATAGATCACTGGTGAAGAAATTCACAAATTCAGGTTACAGTGGTAGTTTCTGTGATTCATACACGATCCAGATCCAACGATTACTTGCTTTTGGTTCAGATCCAGATAAAGTCAAATCTCCTAAACAGATTCATAAATATAGGGAATGAGGCAGGTCAGGTGTTGCTTATACACTACGCACAACTTAAAACTTCAGCTTACCGACAAGGAGTTTATCTGGATCCAACCCATGATTATGGGCTGCATTGGCTCGAGCAGAGTGGATAACCTGCAATCAGACCATCAAGTTTTTTTTTTTTTTTTTGAAATGAAACTTGCATTAAACGTGATACATGAAGAGTGTGTATAAATATACACATGTATGAACCTGTTGAGAGTATCTTACCTGATACACTGTTTTGGCAGCTCTTTTCACTGTTACTTGCAGCTGCAAGAGAGCATCTTCAACACGCATTCCCCTAACCAGTTTAGCCACCAAATTGACCTTCTTGGGACTCTAGCACCATTATCCATAAAAGAGTCAAATTAAAGATGTGTATTGCATTAATTTATGCAAAAGCTAACAAATTTTCATCTATATAATAAGTTGATTCTATGTGTACAACTTATCGCTTCAGGTTGATATTCACAAAGCTACCACGAGGAGTAAAATGTATTACTCATTAAAGTAACAATATCTATTAAATAGTTTATTCTAACATTGAGACTAAGAGGAGTGATGTTTCACTAATTTTCAAGGCTATGAAGCTCTGCGTTCAAATGTAATCCTAGCTTAGTATAATCATCAACAAGATGTCAAAAACCAAAACCAACTCTTTGTGCTATTACATTTCCAGAGCCAGTGCTACTGTATCAGTAAGGACAGTAAACCCGTTACCATTCAATTTCGCACATTAATCTGATAAATGCAATGAGACTATATCTTTTGGTAACAAAGAAGACTCTGCTTAGAGGTTAAGTTTCCTTGTTTGCCAATGCACGTCCAAGAAAACTGGAGTTGGGAGCCTAGAAATACTTGACTAGGACACATGCCTTGGCCATTAGCTGGAGAGTCCCTGACGAACACATTATATCAAAGAAGATTCCCAACATTATTCAGTTGTATGTCCCAAAAAAATCAAAAAAATCCATTTTTTTGGTAATTACATCTCTATTAGGTAATATTATTACTGTGTCATAAGACAAGTCTCAAGAATCCTTATACACACACAACCTGTAACTTAAATATATACGAAGAATGCAAATAGTAACTAATTAAGTCAATTGTTTCCAATAAAAAGTGCTATAAACCAGGAAGACGGATCAACTGCATAACCACCACATGCAGGATGCACCTATAAAGAAGTTAACTCTGAGGAGACTAGGAAGTTCCCTGAACAAACATTCTCTATGACAAAGAAAAAGAATCAAAGGACAAATCTTCTGAGCTATAACATTCATGAGATCCTTTTCTCCACTGCATTAGGATCCTGTTCAGTTCCGAGCATGACTTGTACACAGGGATGTAAAGAACGCTTAAAGTCCACAACAATAGAAGAATTGTGCATGTCAATTCACGAATTATCAGCCACTAGTCCTTTTCATTGTAACGAGAACCCAAACCATACTTCTACGAAACCATTCTACCATTGAAGATATTTAATTGAAAGGTTTCTAAGAGTAATACACTACGTCTTAAAGTTCAAACAATTGTCCCTTTATAAATTATCATGTAACTCTAGTCTGATTGGCTATAAAACCTCCATACAGTCCAGCGTCTCTCATTTTATTTTTAAGTTCTTAGGTTCATTGATTTCCAAATTGTTGATAGTGAAGACATTAATATATTTCTCATTTTATTTTTAAGTTCTTAGGTTCATTGATTTCCAAATTGTTGATAGTGAAGACATTAATATATTTAGACATATGATACCCAAATCATTCTCCAACACATATATAGAATGCCCGGCACCAAAAAAAAGGTACTTGAAGCAAGAAACCTCCACTCTTGTATCTAGAGCAAATGGGGAAATGATCTATTTCCAAAGTTAATCAGTGAATATCACTGGAAGACCTTGCCTACTTACAGGATTGAACTTGCAATTTTGCACAAAGTTTGATAACCTTCCCGTCATGTGTCAAAATTAGATATGAGGTTCTATATTTCAAGACCAAGTAAGGTTAGGATTGACGGTATATATATTTCCTTCATAATGTGAGATTATGGATGCAAATTTCCCAATTGTAGTGGTTAAGAGTTTCAAATTTAAACAGTAGAGGCACACTATTGCAAGCTATTATAAAATTCAATTCACGGTGCACAGAGGCGTACAGTTGTTCATGGTGAATTTTATGATCCCATGTATGCAGTGTGATCCGCATGTGTAGCGGGAGGATTCATTCGGATTGCAAAGGCAACAGTCTCCATTTTAGGGTGGTCTTCTTTAGACAATGAAACTTACATCCACCTTTGGGGGCTTCCCTCTTCTTTCTTCAGGCATGCCTCCCTCCCTCTTGCCTACAAGATTTTCTCAATATATACTCATACATTTCAAGAGCATACAAATAGTTGTAATGCTGTATTTAAGGAAGTCTACAAGGATGCAATTATTCAACGGAACAAAGAAACAAGCAATGCAAGGACCTAATAACCAAGTTTTTTTACGATCTGTATTACTTTGGGGGTAGGTTTTTTTCTTTTTTCACCTTTTTCTTTTTTTTTTTGGGGGGGGGGGGG